TTTGCATTACAGAGCTCCAAGGCAGTGTAGCTGTTTTTTTTTTAATAAATCTTAGTCACCTTGTACCTTTGATCTCTCTACCTAAATCATATATTTGCAGTCTAGAATAGGCCATCAAAAAATATAATTGGTAGAATGAGCAACCAAGGAAGCCTTGTAAATGATAAGGTTAACATCTAACTATAACACAGAAATCTCGTGGTCCTTCGAAAGATTGCGAGGAAATAGACAATTATTATATGTTCTGAATGATTAAGCTCAGAAAATTTCTTGACAATTCCCAAAAAAACGATCGGTGGAACTAAACTAACCGACCGTAAATTTTAAAATCAAAATATAACTTTCACTGTAACACAACTCCTTCATAAAAAAACAAATATTTTTTTCTGTGCAAAAAGTCTTTTCGATAATTGGAAACGAAATTTGACCTTTTCCTTGACACGAAGAACAGCTGTTTAAACTGCAATATTGCATATCATCGGAAAAAACCCTCGACATGTAAATCTTGAAAAAATATAAGCCAAGATCTCTGAAGATACTCACAATCTTTCTAGGAAGTTTATATAAATATACAAATTGTCTTAGAGTTCATGGTACGAGCAAACCTATCTAAAGATGTCGGAGAAGATACCCAAACATTGGAAAACATAGTTTGTGTTACCGGCTGGAAAGATGATATAAACAACCATTTGATGATCATCGCAACAACGAACATTTTTTTATCCTTTTTGGCTTTTCTCGGCAATACTCTGATTTTGGTCGCCCTTAGCAAGGAATCTTCTCTTCATCCACCAGCCAAACTGTTGTATCGTTGTCTGGCAATAACTGATCTCTGCGTCGGTCTCATATCAGAGCCCTCGTCTGTTGTTTATTGGCTGTCCTTAGTTCGTGAGGATTGGAAACTTTGTCACCATGCTCTGAAGATGAGTTTTCTAAGCTACTATATTCTTTCTTTAGTTTCTCTCTTAACGATGACCGCAATAAGTGTGGACAGACTTCTCGCCTTGTTGCTGGGGCAGAGATTCGGGCACGCTGTAACTCTGAAACGAACTTGTGTAATTGTTGTCATCATTTGGGCTTTTTCGATAACCGCTGGGATATCGCACTTTATAAATTACCGCGTAGCCGGCTGGTGTAGCTATGGTGTTGTATCGCTTTGTATCATAACAGCAACGTTATCGTACATAAAAATTTTCTGTGCTCTCCGACAAAATCATGTATGAGGGCAAGTTTTTTTTCTACCACAGCCGGGCAAACCAGTTCCACTGAATATGATTCGATACAGAAAGGCTGTAAACAGTGCACTGTGGGTGCAGTTGGCATTGATCGTTTGCTATCTACCACATAGCATAGCGACAGGACTTTTTCAATCTCAAAATGAACTGTCCTCGTTGGAGTTTGTAGTCTTGGAAAGTACAGTAACTTTAGTTTATTTAAACTCATCGCTTAACCCGTTTCTTTATTGCTGGAAGATTGCTGAAGTAAGAAAAGCAGTGAAGGAGACAATCTCAAAAGCACTTTCCTCTTTTCTGGGTTATTCTATTCAGAACAATTAACAACTGATTAAAAATCTCTCTAGCAAATTGGTTTTCGCATCAAATTCAATAGAATAGAATGAGAAAAAAGACTCAGTCCGCCGACGAGTTTTCCGGATCAAGATGGTGGACTAACGCAACTCGGAATAGGAGGAATAGTAGTGAAGGACTACAGTGTTTTCTTGGTCCATGCTAGTAGCAAGATGAATAACTCTTCTCTTCAAAAGTAATAGCTTGCTCCAACACATACAACCTTCACGTAAACACGCAGAGGGAAGACTTTGATCGAAGAGCTCTTTTGATGTATGCTTAGGTTACGTGTATGCTAAAGATACCGAAAAAAAAACATTCTAATAAGGGTGTTTACGCTCTCGCTAAGATTTCATTGGAAAGAAGGGGAAAAATTCAATCTCCTAGAGTCCAGCTTCACACATCTTTAACATGACTCCAAAACTGTATAATAAACATCCCCAATCTTTTGAGTCATCCTCTTAATTCTACATGAATCCCTAATATTTGATGTTATGTCTTACTATTATTAGCATTATTTTTAGCATTATTTCTTTATTTCTTTGATTTAATTTCTTTTAACACTACCTAACCTAAGCAAAAAATTCGTGACCAAAGTCACTCGGCGCTAATTGTTTATGTTAAAGTGAATTTACATTAACAATTCCAGTAAACAAGTTCTTCTGTTTGTTTCAGTTATAACTTTTATTGTCATTATAGAGCCTTTGGTGATGAGTACTTTTATTCATGAACATTGTTGAACTTTTGATTAAACAGGACATTATTATGAATGTTATTCAAACTTTTCTCAGCTGTTCCTTGCTTGATATGATTTCTAATTAGTTGAGCTGAAAGATAAATATGACTTTCTTGACACTTGGATCTTTTCCCATGCCCTAATGTAAAATTTTAGAACGCCGAATGTGTCTATCGTTGATTATTTCATAGTTACCCACAGCCAGTTAAGTTTTTTTTTTGTCTTTTGTTTTGTTTTTTTTTTTTTTATTCTGCCAAGAAGGACAATTAAAAAATTTGATTTCTGAAGTGACCCCATAAGTTTTTTTTAAGGAGTCTCCATGGGGTTTTTTAAACTCGCGCCTGAAAAAGAGTTCAACCGAAAAGAAAACACCATGGGAAAGATTGCGAAAAGCGACAGATTCGAAAGTTTACACTTGCTCAGATATAGATCTTGGCAAAGTTCTGTTCTATTACGTAATGTCTTGTGACAAAGACAATAGGGATCTTTCGAGCAATATTTATCGCGTCTCCTTTATGTGGAATTTCCTAAGATTTGCTAGATTGTTAAACATACTTGTGCCCTTCCTAGTGCCTGTTCATAAAAATAAAAAAAAAATGTTATAAGACCAAATTTGAGATAGACGAAGAAAGCACAAAATTCCAAATAGCGAGGAAAATGCCTATGAAACCCCTATTTCTTTTTCGGCTTCGAAATGATCGGCAGGAAAAATTTCACAATTTGTGAAAATTTTGAGAGATTTCACCGAAGCAAATTGAAGAAAATCAGAGGTAAAGCCAAACTATCACTGGCGAGCGCCTCCCTTCGTGGAGCCTTAGCTCAATAACGAAAATAATTTTGATAATATTTTCTACAGAAAACGACAGTCCCAAACCTTGCTCATCGCCCTTTCGATGGCTTTTAGTGGCCTAAAAAAAGCGAAAACATAAAGATTTTCTAAAAAAAAAACAATACGCTGGCGCGTGCGCCAAGCTTTGGTAAAAACCCTATGGAGTCTCCGTAAGTCTATTTCACCAATGGGAAAAAATACATTACTTATGTTTAATTTTTCACTTCTCTTTTAACAACTCCAGGATTGGAGGACCATTTGGGGTTATAAATGAGATCTTCCCTATTTTTGTACACCAGAGAGTTTTTTAAAATAATGATGTAATTTTATGTTGTGGACACTAAGACGCCGTCGCTTACACGCCACCTGAATCTTTGCCAAAACTTTTTATTTAAAAATCATGCAAGAATAACGAGAATTAATTAAACATTGTGGCAATATTTACAAGGAATTATCGACACTACTGCTCTTCCGACCAAACCGTGAAACTCTGGAACGAACAAATGAGATGCAGGAGTCCTTTAACATAATTTTGAATCATTTTTCTTTCGCTCAATTATTTACAACATTCTATAAATTTTTTTTTTAGTTGAGTAAGCTAGCGTCTAGACAGTAAACAACTGCTTAATATCAGTCGCAGATCGATGAACTGTACAATAACTGCCTTATTACGTTGAAACTTGTTTGGAAACAGCTATAAAGTTAATTAAGAAAGAGATTCCATAAACTGGAATACAGTTTTGCGCTAGTAGATAGTTTGATGTTTCAAATCGCCATGCGAAAGTTAAATCTCACGATGAAATTCTGGATCGAATCTTTCAAAGGAAACTACAGTAATGAAATTCAGTTCTCCCCGCCTGCAAAGGTTGGTGCTTTCTTTTCCGCGACGAGATAAAAACATATTAAACTTCATTAGATTTCGCGGTTTATATTGGTTTTGCGCAATTTTCTCTTCTGTTCTGTCTTTTCGTGATATAAATATTGTTAAATACCTTAATATGCGAAGCACCGTGACAGGAATTTATTACTGTACCCTGCACATGATTGTTTATGGTCTCTTATACTTATGTAATTTTCATTATTTTCAGTATTTTGTAATTGTGCGTGCGCATCGTAAACTAGTATGCTGATTGCTCCTAGGCGTTGTGTGGATAAATAATCTATCTATCTATCTATCTATCTAATATTCCCCCACTTTGTACGCCCTGACTATTTCAAAAGTGGGTGATGGCTGCCTTCAAACGAAAACCTAACGGCTGGTGTTTGCATTGTCAATTGCAGCCCTCCCGAAGCTAGCTCCTTTGGACGCTCAACCATCATTTGTTCTTCGCACACTAATTAAAGAGAGCAGGGGAAAAAACCTGTCAGCCGGTCATACATAACAGTAAGTGGAAATATAATGATGATAAGCTCTTAAGATGACCTTGAGGGCATGAAATCTCCTCCTCTTCTTATAAATACTCGCTCCAGGGTTCATTGACAAAGCCAGATTTATATTGTGCATCGTGGTTATGTAGACGCCGTTATTTGTGTTACACCTGAAAATCTGCATAAAATTCCACTCCTGCAGGACTTACGAATGAGGATGATCACTGAATTCTTTCCATGCGTTTAAAGAAAATGGTTCACAAGGCAGCTTTTTATCCAACGTAAGGTGTAAGAAATCAATTTCAAATCAATATTTAGTTTCTCCATTTTATAAATGGGTTTCCTTAATTTATGATTTGTTCTTCTTCTTTCCATAAAACAGGTGATTAGTATCTGACAGTCTAATTCCTACATCGAGGCGCCACTCAAAAATTGGTTCGTTGCTGTTGCATCAATTTAGCAAGGGCGATCTGGAACAAGTGTATTTAAAGAAAATCCGAGAATGAAATTTAGTTTTCCACCTATGAAATTCTTGCTTTTTGTGCCCATTCTCTTTTGGAGAACGACTTTTACGCTTAAAGGTAAGTAGAATTCAAGCTTTTCTTCCTTTATTGATTTCTGTTCCTTTACAATCTTTCCCTTTTTCTTTTTTTGCTGTTCACGAGTTACATCTAAAGCCTTTTGTTACATTTAAAGCCTTTTTATTTTTTTCGTCATAGACGCCATAAATCTTTAGTAAGGTTGATTTATAAGAACTATTTATGGATAGTGAATCTGTATTCAAGACTTTCTTCAATGTTGAGGAATATAAGTTTGTGTTTTAATAGGAAATTTTGTTACCAAACTAGCTATTTTAGTTTCTGTTGTGATGCGAATGGTAATTTCATTTAGACAGAAGACCTTTACACTTAGTTACAAACCAACGGCCATGATTTTTTCCTTCCTTTTTCGGTTTTTTTTCTTTTCTTTCTCGCATTCTTGTGTAAAATTCGAGAAAAAACGTTTTTGAATTTCATCGAACAAATTAATCAGAGAAGCATTTGTACATCAACTGTTTGTTCCAAAGAAAGTCATCACTAATAGTCATTCGTCGCTTAAACCTTATTCCACCTGCAAACTGTTATTGCTGATACTGTCAGACATTGTCACTAACGATTGCCATTGTCATTAATGTTCGTTTTGGTTGGCTCATGTTGTAAAGGCCCGTAGGACTTCCGTGCGTGGGTTCTGGCCCCAGACTGGAAAAACACTTGGGGTCTATCATAATAATTGAGACAAATATGCTTTGTAGTGACACTAAACTGCACCTGCATAGTATAGTTTTCGCTACTGCTTATGTAATGTATGTATGACACTGCTTATAACGATTGCCTTATATTCATTGACGTTACGTAATCGTTCTCTTAATTTTGAGAAACGAACTTAATTCTTTTATTATTATTTTTTTAAAATTAATTTCATTGCGTAACCTTAGTGAAAAAAGAAAATGCTGATTTTTGTATTTTTGCCTTCCTAGATCATTGCCGGCGGCTCTCGTTTGGCTCACCGTTTCATAACAAAGCACTTGTTAACCATGTGATCAAGAACATAACGTTAGGATTGGGAATGCGTAGTTCCTGTAGAGGGCGATGCATTTTGGACGACAACTGTGTGTCCTACAACATAGGTCCTCCAATAAAAGACCAAGTTTTGTGTCAGCTGAGTGATTCTGATCACATCCAGCATCCTAAAGATCTTGTTACTCAAGAAGGGTTCGTGTATCGAAACAGTGAGGTGAGATATTTCGACTTCATACGATTCTATCTTAATATTTGGGTTTTCCTGCTACTTCTTGTTTATCTATCCTTTCATGAAAATTTGTAATCTTTTCATCGACTTTCAGACTAACCCCTTTGAAATTCAAGCTGAAGCTTTAGGTTAGGATATATTCTCTTCTTCTCAGAGTTTCAATAATTTCTGAGTTGCGTCTGTGATTTATCGACAGAACTCATGCTTAAATAACCCATGTCCTCAGAATATGACCTGCTTAAATGGATTTACGGAAAAGGGTTACCTCTGTGTATGTCAGTTTGGTTATACTGGGAAGAAATGCAAAATAGGTAAGTATACCTATAAAAATGAAGATGAATACTAAATTCTTAGCTCTACGGGTGACCACACACAAGTGGAGTTCTAAATTCTGATTTGAATTCCCAAATATGCAAGAATTGCTCATAATTTGATCAACTTGTGTCAATTCTGATAAATTTGTTCAAAAATGAAAAGGGACCATTTTGATGATGTGAAGCATGACAACTGGTCTCTAAAATAGTTTTTTTTTTAATTCCCAGATATTTTTTCAAACTACTATATTCAGAACTAGATTTCTGAACAAGATGTAAATATGCTAATTGCATTACCAAGTCGCTAGAATGATTTTTAAGAAGTCCAAGTTCCCCTAAAAATTTTTATGTGAGGAACTATACATGGCATGGTTTATTTTCAACAATTTTTTATCAATCTCATCTTTTCCCTAGGAACTAGCTGCAGCGATCTGCTTGACTCGTAAGTGACAATCCTCTAGTGAACTGATTTACCGCAACTGACGAATTAGGCTGATAGACTGAATTTAAAGACCAATTCCAAAGCTAATCGTTCAACTTACGTCATGTCAATTCAAATTTAAGTTTTGTCGAGAATTATTAAACTGTGTCTGTTCCTCGAGCATTTCTTTAACAGACTTATGACAGGGTGGGTCTGACTGTTTCACGCCACAATGATTAGTTTAGTATATGTCATGATCACGAACTGAATTCAAGAACCCAGCTTTGGAATACGAACTCTCCCTGCAGTCTTTCTTACTAATATCCTATCTAAAGCTTAAGTTGAGTTCCTGAGTTGAGTGCTAGATATGCTATATTAAGAGGAATTTCCACTGGTAAAACACAAATTGATCTTACGTCTAACAAGAATGATTCATGTTTAAAAAAGATTCGAATTTACCTATTTCAACTATTCTCTCATGTGATATCGAGCTCACTGACTTAATCATCCTATCTTAGTGAGTGTGAAGAACGATATGGGTAACATAGAGGAACGCAAACTTTTTCTTTGCTAGTTTGAAATGATTGCTATACAACCTGTGAGTATAGCCACATTGAAATTCCCATCAAGGCCCATATCGGTTTTTTTTTTGGATACTTTAAAATCAGCTGCTCCTGTTGTTCAGGTCCGAAGGCAACCGAGCCTATTCCTTGAATGTGGATTCATTGTCATTTCCTGTGTATTGTCACATGACTGGTCTTGGTGCGTGCGGAGGTGCCGGATGGACGATGGTTATGAAAATAGATGGGCGCAAGGTACATGAAAGTTTTCAAAACACTAATAACTTCCTATCTCTTTAGTTGAGTCTGTAAGTATATTTTTTCCTAGAGGGAACTCAGGCGAGTGTGGTGGAGTCATGCATTTGCAGAAGAAAAGTCATGTAGCAGATTTTTTTTTAAATTTTTTATTAAATAAATATAGCTGGCTTTGAGCAACCATGCAGGATGAACTGAAAAACTGTTGATGATAAACCTTTTTCTAATTCTTATAATAAAACAACTTGTCGGCCTTAAGTCTGTTCAGAGGGTCGTGTAGACGACATTTACATGTCATATGAGGCCTTTTTTTCCAAAGTGTTTTTGATTTAAGGAAATTTGAGACCCGTATAGTTTGAGTGACACTCCACATTGAGACATGCAAAGTTTACAGGAGTAAACGCCGAGTGATTTTTCGTTATCGGGGCTTGTTTTCATATCACGCGAAAACTAGAGTCAAATAGTTGAAAAATGAAATCAAAGAACTGATGTCCAGGCTGTCATATTATGGGATCAGATTTAGAATGCTTTTGTGTGACTGATTAAGCATATTAAGAATGACGAGAGAACTGAATTGAAGTAACCGAAATTGGTGTTAATGTTTCAGAGAACTTTCCATTATGATTCCAAGTATTGGAGCAACAAAAATTCCTTCAACTTACCAGGAGGAAAAACTGGGTTTGACTCGCAAGAGACCAAGTTACCGACATACTGGAATACACCTTTCTCCAAGATCTGTCTTGGTATGAAGGTTGACCAACAGCTCAACTTTATTGTCATTAACAGAGAGGCTGAATCTTTGTACTCACTGCTTGCTGATGGAAAATACCGCAATACCTCATTGGGTCGGGACACATGGAAGACGCTGATAGGCTCGCAGGCTTCCTTGCAGCTTCACTGCAACATGGAGGGCTTCAATTGTGATGGTGTAAAGACTAAAACAAGGATTGGGATCGTTTCTAACGAGTATTTGAATGCCTGCGATCAATGTGATTCAAGAATTGGTTTTGGTGGCGCAGGATCATATGACGATAATAACTCGTGTGGTAACGTTGCTGTTTGGAACCCTGACAATGGTGACAAATACATTAAAGCCATGGGATACATTTTTGTTCAGTAGAATAGCTTTTAAATTTTACCTGTGATATGTACAACAGACCTTTTAAGGAAGCGTCCACCCTGATGGCCTGATCCATTTGCCAGTCGTCAGCATCTAAAAAAAATTTGCTTTTTTAAAAAGGCTACCTTTCCGTAAACGTTAAATAAAACCATCGAGATTCTTGTAGAGGACTGTTGAAAATTGTAAAAGCCATCTTAAGGATTGTTAATGTGTCAACCCAAAAAATGATCCCTTTGCTCCCCTCCAAAGCGGCTCTTCATTATATCATGGCCATTTTATTGCAGATGCTTTCGTTATAAACACGGTTGAGGTCTCAAATAAGGAAAAGACAAACATGTCATATTCCATCACGTTTCTGATCGCAGCGGAAGCACAGGGTTACATTTTCGTAAGAAATGCGGAAAATAGCGCAATTTCACAGAAGAGAGAAAATCGATGGCACTACGTTTATTTCTTTTCCTAATCGTTGAGTTGGTGCAGGTTGATTTGTGTGGTTCAGACAATGGCAAGCCGAGTTATGGGTACTTTTGTTGCTATCAGTCGTCGCGAAGCTACATCGCGTCTTACACTTCGACACTTATTTTAGCGGATTAAACTCAGTGCAGTAATTTACTTGCTTTACTTCGATAATTCCAGTGGAAGGAGAGCTACTCGTTGAAGCCAATTGTTCTTCAAATTGCCGCCAGTGAGTGGGCTAGGGTACGAGTCAGACACTCGCTTAAATTCCTCGTTTCCCTCAAACGAAAACTGAGGGTCAGATGGACAAGGAAGAAAATTTGTGTCCTGCCATCGCGGGTGAAAGACTACACTAGCGGACAAAACTGTATTTTTCCCTCTTGAATTTATCTAGACATGTTTTACGGACGATGACGGTTCAATGGTTTAAAAAACAAACTTGTTTGGTTTGCCAAAATTTGGAAGCCTCCGATGCAGGATATCGGCTCCTTTAAAGATTGGCAAAATTTTTTTCACTCGGGCCTAAGTACGTAATTTACAAAACTCCACATTAGTTCTTCTATTTGTTGATATTCTGACAATAGCTTTAAATGTTATGAACATTAGTTTACGAGGTTCGAACATTTATTGTACGAGAATCGACACCTCAGGTGCCTTGGTGAATGGCCGGTATGCGGATTAGTATAGAGCTATTAAATTATGACGGGCATGATCATCATTATTTTATGCGCATGTAACCAAGGCCTCTAGGACACACATTTAAGAACAAGTCTCTGTAAGAGTCAAACATCTTGGGAAATGAAAATTTTCAACCATCCTTCAAATTTTGCATGCAGTTAGGCACTCAGGGGGTATACACAAAAACGCCCTTTTTAAAGGCGATGTTTACATCTAATGTTCTCAACAACAAACGTTTCAGACAAATGAAACGTGCAAGGCTTTGAAAGAATGTTATCTTATGAGCAATATCCCGAAGAGAAATCTCGCCTCTGGTCGTCATCTTTTAAAAAAATTGATCAACCCTCATGGAGGACTACTCGACGTAACTACAAACATATACCTCAAATCGTGTGCATATCATCCAGATTCCGAGTGCTGCACCTTCTTTCACGAGAACTTGAGCGATCCGAAGTCCTCTGAAGATACACCGTTATACTTGCATGTCATTTAAAACATGTTGAATTCGGCTGATGTACACGAAACTATCCTCACACCGGTCATTTGTCATAAACATGTACGTTGTTACGATGGCGTGACGCTGTATTTCTCCGTGAAGTTTCCATCGGTTGCTCCAAAGAAGGCGAGAATGGATATTTTTCATATATGTCAGAAGATTTCTGAAGCTAAATTTTTGGAGATTGACTTTCATGAAATCCCTGTTCCATTTGCTGTACTGCAGGGATACTAAGTTGTTCAAAGTCTCCACTTTATGATGATTTTCGCGCGAGTCGTACAAATTGCTATTGCGGCGACTGGGTTTACATGTAGTACTGCCGCTAACAAGTTACGATTTATACTCTCAGATTCTCAGTGTTTACGAGAGTCCAATCAAGGTTTCCTCTTTTTTTTTTTTTTTGGTTGTTTTTACTTCAGAATGCGCGGAAATCTTCTGTCTGAAACGTTTGTTGTTGAGAACATTAGATGTAA